GGCTTGTTGATGTTACTTGTTTTAAGGAAGAATTACATTTGGGTATCATGGGAAAAGCAAGGAAAACAACATTTTACTCGTGCGTGTTTTCTGACTTGGCACCTGCTTCATCTGAGAAAAATGAGACTTCACAATTAGTTGTCTGGGATCATTGCTACTGAACAGTGCTGTGCTACAGTACAGCACTTGGCAGTGTATCGAACACAGAACATGTGGTTGTGGCCTATGCTCCATATGCTGCAGCAAGATAACATCCTTGATATACAATAATAAACTTTTTTGTTTATTTTTATAGGCTTTTTTTTCTGAGCTAAACTGTATTAAGTCACTATCATAGTTTATCTGCTTAAAAACTGCATTACCATTGCATAAAATCTGACTTCTAAAATAGTCATCAAGTGTGAAATTAAGTTGCTGGAGAGTTTTAAGTATGCTTTAGTCTGTCTCCTGGGAGCAGTAAGTTACTAATCCTTTCGTCACATGATGACATACTGAAACAAAGATTTCAAACTTCAGGCGAAGCTCAGGTTAGCTTGTCTTCCCCAGTGGATTGTTTGCGAGAGCACTCATAGGTGCTTATGTCAACCTTGGCAACATTACAGAGCAATTAATAATAACCCAGTGATGTAAAAACAAGTGACTTTTAATAAGACTTTAAAACATTATTTCAGGTGTCTATTTTTTTACTTGTGCTGGAAACGTGATTTTGAAGTAATGTTAAGAAAGCAAAATCAGGTAGAGGGATAAAGTTGATTGGCAAATTAATTTGTTAGTACAATTGGTTTATCAATGAAATGTTCATTTATTGTTTTACTGTAACGACCTTCATTTAATACACAGAACATTTCATTTCTTATTAAACCGAGTGCTGAGTAACTGCAAGTGACCTCAGCCTTTTCAGTCAGAAAAGGTGAGTGTGCAAATGGCTGCGTACCTGAAGTGTGGTTCAGGTTGACCTGCTCAGTACACAATAGGAGTTTTGTAGAAGCAGGGAGATTGCAGGGATATGTGCGAAGTAAGTGGTGAAGAACTGGCGTGGTGAGAGACTCACTGAAGTAAGACCATTCTTCCTCATTAAATAACTTTTTAAAAACATTGCTTGAAATAGACAAGATCACACAAGTTCTTGCTGTTCCTGTTTGGAGCAGAAACTTGAATCCACCTCTTAACTGTTGTAGTCACCAAGTTACTGCATGGTTTACATATGGCCTTTTTGTTCTTTTGCCTTGAATTTGTTTCACTTTGTTCAAGTAATAAATAATAAATTAAACTACATTGAGGAAGTGATCCGGGTTAAAAATTAACTTTCCTTCTGGCAGGTTATTTTAACAAGGATAAATTTCTTGATCTGGTTCATAGCACAGCTACACAAACTGCTAACACAGCTGGAAGAGCCAAGGAGAAAGGAGAGGCAGCGTGTGCGAAACAGGGCACTGCTGTTGAAAGGAATTCACACAAAATGCAACTTTGAGCATTTTTAATCTTAATTACAATTTAAAACTATAACTCAAACAATTTAAGTAGGTGCTACCATTCTTATTTTACTTGAACTGAACGGTTTGGTAAATTGGCAGCACATAGTGATAGTTTAACACAGCCTATTCCACTAGTACAACTCAATCTGAAAGAAAATGCCTGTGCATTGCTGTTTTCCCATCTATTCCTTACTGTTTCCAGTTACATCTTACATTGCCTCAAGAAAATATCTGCATTTCAATAACTTGCCAATTGAAAAACAAATCCCCTGTTTTTCAGGTTAGTTTTCGTATGTTGTCTATGGATCACCACTAGTTTATTTAAAAATCCCTAGTATGCTCAGGCTTGAACCACAGAAGAAAATGGCACTCGTTTAAGTAGTTTTTGAAATCACTTAACCAGGCACATATGTCTGTGTGATCATTTGGTTTATCACTATTAAATCAGTACATTTTTTGTTCAAGTGTAGTTTGGATTTGGCTTTGACTGAATTTAGTTGTGGTTTAGCTATTAACAGTTTAACCCTTCTCCCGACCCTGAATCAGTTTAGGAATAAACAGCATTTAAAAGTGTGAAGCATCACCTTATGGGGGCAGGCCAATGATGAGGAAGTTTGCACCTGATTTTCCTTGTTCATACTTAAAACTGAGGCAGAAGTTGCAGTGTTAAAGGCAGCTTCTTTGAAATCCCCACAGTCTGAGGCTGAAGCTGAAGAGCTGAAAGGAAACTGGTGGGCTTCACTGCTGGCAGTTTTGTGTCTGGGAGTAAAGACAAAAACCTGTACACTCCTGTTATTCTGGTTTAAGCTGTGTCTGCATATGTGCAGACTGGAAATAAAAGCCTAAGTCTCTTCAGTGAGTTATGGTGAGGACTCGTATTTGCTGGAGACAAACTCAGACTCAGAGATTCTTGCGAAGTACTTTGAAGATGATGTTTGGTGTAGAGAGAGGCAATTCTGCAGATCTCTCTGCATCGGGAAAACAAAGATTAAGGCATGGTCAGCACTTCAAAGTAAGAGTAATTTACATACGGCTGCCTTTAGGAATGTATGGAAAGTCTATTGAGAATTGCAAATTGTAATAAAGAAACAAAGATTTTTATTATACATGTTGTTCTGAGCCATGTGGTGATGGAAAGATGAGAAAAGATACGGTATGGTGCTGTTTTTGCTGATCACTCTGAATGCAAATAGTTCCCATGCTGAATAAGCTCCTTTCTACTTTAATGAAAAAGTAGAATTCAGAGCTTGTTTTGGTTTTAGGTTTCATTGCTTTGGTCAAGTTGTGGGTTTTGGTTTAGCGGACACTGATGCCTGCAGCGTTTCGTCCTGGATGGCTGTGTCGACTCAGGTTTCTTGGGATACATAAAGCATGTGCCAGCCAAAGGAGGAGTTCTGCCACCTTCTGTGTGTAATTAGCTAGACTGAAAAGACACCCCATGTCTTCTCTCAGCATTGTTGTACCTGTGTTAGGATTTCTATTGTCATAATTGCTTAGGGAGGCAGCCGTTATATTTTTCACACATTTAGGTGCCATACCTTACCTGGCAATTCTTTGTATTGTCTGATCAATATAAATTTTGTCCTAAGTGAAGTGAGAAGCAGATTCACTTGAATTGAAACAAGTCAGGTAACAATAATGGTCTAGGACACATTGTATGGGTTCAGTTCAGTCTAGGCATGTCAGAATTAACTGGCCCTAAATGCTGCCTACAAGTATAAAAGGGGAGGGGTGGAACAGAAAAAAACAATATTTCTTAGTGTCAAAGAAGACTCAAAACATGAAAATTTTTTGTTTGTTTAAACAAGCTTAACTACGTTTTACTGAAATTGTATAACTTATGTCAAAAGAAAAATTTCTTTGAGAGCCAGCACTACGTTTCTGAAAGGCAACACTGTTAAAATAGCTGTGAAATGGTCTAGTGCTGTGGTTTTCAGTATTTTTCTGTTTGGGGAACTTTCAGTATTTTTTGATGGACCTTTTTGTAGTTAATTTGAATCTATTGCAAATAGACATGCTCTGATAACTGATTGCTATTCTGATGTTCATTGGAGACTTCAGATGAAATGTTTCCATGAGGTTTTGTGACTTAGAACCTGAGACAGCTCTGCCCGTCACTTAGAGAGGCCTGGAAGGCGAGAGACAGGTCCAGGAGAGAAAGACTATAGGATCATGGCAACCAGCAGTTTGGTAACCTCTGGCTTCTGTCAAATAGCTGCCAAAAACTGTTGTTTGACAAAAAAACCTTTCAAGGTGGCATTAATACCAAAAGTAGCATTTCTCCTTTTTGCTACATGGTCCCACCCAGTATAGCTGCTTCATTGAATGCATTACAAGCATATCTGTGGCTGTGCAGGGAATTGGAGTCATAGGAAAAAATAACTAAAAAAAGAGTTATTTTTTAGATGGGTTTTATTCCTCAATTGTGTAGTATGCAGCCACAAAACGCACTAGTAAGTCTGAGTAGGGGACTGAAAAGGTGCGAATGACTTTGAGGAGGGTTCAGTTGTTTCTCTTAATGATATTGATGACTTCTGGCACCTATGGCTTTATTTATAATTTTGTTTTGTTGCTTGCATGAAAAGACTAAGGAAAAATTAAGCATGTTAAAGCAACTCTGTTGAACTTTCACTTGTATTTTGTCAAGACCATTTCACTGTTCCATGATTGTCTATTACAGCTAAGTGCATATTTGTTTCTTTTAAAGACTGTCAGTAAGTTCTTTGTAATTGAACTGAGTGTTCCTTATTCATTAGGAATAATTTAAATTTTGTTCTGAGCAAATGAAGTTGCAAATGCTCTTATCTAGGTATTTCTGACGAGCTTGTCAGTGATCGTTTTTAAAGTGTGTTAACTATTAAGGCTGTAAATAGTTCGTTCGGAATAATCCAATGAAAACAAATAGTGACCAAGTGGAAAAAAAAAAGGTGAATTAAAAATCTTTGAAGAATTCAAATAATTGGATGACTGAAGCAGACATGAAGATCATCATAGTAGATATTCATTTGATAGCTCTATGCCTCAATTTCTTTCTATTTTTTTCTTTTTAATTTATAATTTCAATAGGTTTATTTAAATATGATAAATAAATGATGAGGACTGACTTTCCTCATACAATGTTTTAATTTCTGTTGCTTATGTTCCTAAATGACATGAGTGAAGCTCAGGTTGGTTCTCTCCTTTAAAAGTGTTTGATGTAAATTAGCACACCACCTTCCTAAGCAACAGAATATAGTTGTTGCTATACTTTAAAAGACGCTAACATTTGAGATGAGGTGAATGGCCAGAATTCTGTGGGAAAAGAAATAAAATCTTAATGTTAATCTAAATTACTATATTGAGAATTCACTTAACAGTGGCATTGCTTAGCAATTCGGTGCTCCCAGTTTTGACAGTGACTGGCTGAAAGACAATTGAGAGTTTTTATTCTGTTCGGGGAAGGAGTGTGCGTGACAAACCATAACTTTGTTTGAATGTTTTTCATCGATACGCACTCTTCAAATTTACTCTTTGTATCTGTTACAGATCCTGGCTCTGCTGAACGCACGGCACAAAAAAGGAAGTTTCCTAGCCCTCCACATTCCTCTAACGGCCACTCGCCACAAGATGCATCAACAAGTCCTATAAAAAAGAAAAAGAAACCTGGTCTGTTGAACAGTAATAATAAAGAGCAGGTAAGAGAAGTCATGGTCTGGTTATGCTAGAATATGGAGCAGTGAAGGATGTAGAGACAGCTGACAAGGAGCTCTCTCCTCTTCAGGAAGTTTCATTTTTGTATTCTAGAAAGTGAATATTCATGTTTGAGCGCAGAGGATGTAGGAGTTGGCATTGTAAGTTGGATTTGGGTGTCTTTTATTTTTTCTTTTTACATCTGTATGACAGAGACCACCTGTGTCCTGGCTTTTGATTTCATGAAGCTAATGAGATGTATAATGCATAAGTGCAATTTTGAACAAAAGAACTATGGAAGAGTATAAATGCAACAACAATAATAGCTGTTATTAATTAAAGCCATTAAAAGGAAATGTTATGGGGCATGATAACCTAGATTAAGAAAGATCTCATCATGTCAGTGGACGTCTCTCATCTGCTTTCAATTCTACTGCCAGTTATTAACAAAAGTTCAGCTCCTTCCTTGGTACTCTGCAAGTTCCTTCCCCATCCTTTGAATTGCTGGGCATTGTACACTCCTACCAAACTAGTTAAATCAACGGGTTGCACTGACAGTACTTTTCAGACTTCATGCTTGAAACCTTATTTTCAGCATCTCCTGAATAATGAATTTATGGCATTTGTGGTAGTTTAAGAACTTGACTCCGTAAGACTTTGGGAATTTCTAATTCTTTGTATGATGCAAGCGAAAGAGTTCTATGAAGCGTATTGAATAGCAAATGCTGTGAAGCACCTGCATCAGCTTGGAGGAGACTACATGAAAGCAGTCTTTAGTCTTACTGAAATTATTTCTCATCTAATTTAATAAAGACATGCCTGTGTATTTTTCAAAGTGCTTTTTTGTGTGTCGGTGTATTTTACCAGGATCATATAAACACAGGATTAAGTTCTGAGGGTTTAAAGCACTTCTTCCTGGCGTAACAGCATTCACATTAAATACTATCCTGATACAATTGCACTGGTTAAGTGAGAAAACGAAATCCTAATCACTGGAGTTGTCCTGGAACAAAGACTGTGAAGAAATCAGGCCTTGCTAGAGAACAGTCTTAGTGTCAAGCATATTTTATTTAAGGATAATTGGGAGTTCTAGTAATAGCATGTGTAAGCACACTTACACTAGTTAATTGTGGTCAGTTTAGCTCTTGTGGAGCTTCACTGCAGGCAGTATAAATTGCTCTATCTCCTGGACGTTTGCTGGGGAGATGTTGCCCCTCTGAAGTCTGAGCTTCTAACTGTGCAGTGTAGAGATAATTTTACAAATAGTGGAATTGCATCTTAGGATATTAATTTCCACTTTTTATTTGTGCATTTAAAATATATGTGAAAATACAGTTGGAGTTGTTGAACTTTATACATTCCCCGCGGTAAATCCTTTTCTGTTTTCCAAGTATCTCAGACCTGAAATATTACAGGATAGAATAGAGTTGCATATTGAATGAAAAAAGGCAATCAGACCTGCTTATTTTGCTGTATTTGTCACAAGCTAGAAAGAAAATATAATCTGTTTAGTTTTGTTTAGCTTTTACGAGCTGTTTTTAATTTAATATTGTCCTGTATGTCAAATTTAAAATGGGCATGCCTGGAAAATCAGTCTTTCTAAAGTAGGTACAAAACTCTGCTCTATAGGGTAGCAGGAGTTGTTAAAAATGCTTTTACCACTGCCCAAATGTGAGCTAAGTGTACAGTTACTTGTTTTACTCTCAGGTGAATTTTCAAGTATAATTTAGCTCGTAGCTGTGGTTCTGATTGGCTGATAAATCCATTTTGAGATACGACAACATCATTGGAAACCTCCAACTTAATATGCTATGTTACAAAGCATTTTGTAATATCTGGATGTTTTAGGATACTGTCACAAAAGTTATAGTTGCATGAAGCTTCATATTAGATGTGGATGCAGTAATAGATCTGCAGAATGGTGCCAACAGATATTTTAAGTGTTGAAATACAAGCAGAGAATAATAGAATTGAGGAATGTAGCTAAGATAGGTTAAAATTAGGGAACTTCTGGCACTTCAGTTGGTCAGTTGTAATGTTGTTGAAGTTGCCAGCTTATTTTACTACAAACTTCAATATTAATTTAAACTGAATAGAAGTGGTGATATTTTTCTCCCCAAAACAGTGCTACAATACTGGTTTTTCTTCAGTTTTCTGTGTCATTCTACAGGTCTTTATAAAGACTTTATAAAGACTTTAAAACAAGCTACCACCTATTTTTGCTTAAATTGACTGGTTGTTGTTTCTAGTTGTGAAAAACAGAAGTTTTCTTTCATAACTTGGAATTTAAACTCTTAAAACATTTTTCTCTGCTTGGAGCAAGTGAAAAGATTCTTTGATGCAGTTGAATCATTAATTTCCAGTCCTTTAGTTTTGTTGTTTGGGTCTTTTTTGAGTGTCAAAGTTGTTGTATTTTTGGTTTTGTTTTGGTTTTTTTTTTTGTTCTTAAACTTGGCTTAAGCAAGATAAGGTGATAGATGTCTAAAAGATTTAAGCATCCTTGAACAGAAAATTAATTCTTCTCATGCTCTAGCAAAAATGGACTTCTGTTCAGTTTGGAAGTTATGAGTTCATTTCTGTGGAATAGTTTCACTGGGTTTATATTTGTCTTCAAGTAGTATCTTTGACTGTTAGGAAGTTAGTGTGGATATGCTGCTTCTATCCACTTCAAAGTCAGAATACGTATTAAATTTATCTGGCAGTTTCCTTCATCTGCAGTTGAGGAAATGCCCCACAGCTCTATCTCCACATATACACTCTTGAGAGTTTGGACTCGCAACTGTGGTGCATGTCACTGCAAACCAACCATGTTTCTGCACTGTAAATTGCAACTTTTCTGTCTTCACTCTGCGTTTCCATGCGCCTTTGTATCTGTTTGAATAATTGTAGTAGGAATACATTAGTAATGCAGTAAAGCCTCATGCTATCCCTCTTACTCCACAGGATCTCATAGAACCTTCCTTCTGAAAGCCCTTGTCATGTGGTTAAATATATATACAGAGAAAGTACAGATAGTAACACTTTGTCCATTTCCATAGTGGGAACAAAGTATCTTTTTGGTAGCTGTTTCATGTGTAGAATAGAAAATGAAACCCACCAAAACTGATAGAAATTTGAGTGAAATTTTAGGTAGCAGAATGCTTTGGGAATGTTTGTAGGTAACATCTTTACCTAAAATACTATACAGTGTTAGATAATTGCAGATGGTATATGTTTTGAGATATAACATCTCCAACTGGGTTGTCACTTCTGCATCATAAAATTTGACCTTGAAGGTCCAGTATTGATACAAATAATCAGAGCTTGTCCTTTGTAACTTTAGAAATCTAGAACTGTCATGATCCAAGCTGGCATGCTGCTGGTTTCTGGTGACATTAATTTATGCCTTGTGTGACTCATTTTGTACAGGATGCTGCACAGGTATGAACATGCATATGGTTGCACTGTTCTGTGAGTCACAGGGGCATGTGGCAGCTCAGGGGTCTAAGAACTCGCAGATGTGTAAATGGCATAGGCAGGATTCCTGCAAAATTACCTGAGAACCAAACAAAATGGTTCTGCAAACTACAAGCATATGGATAGTTGCAAGTAATGCCATGAGCAAATGGTTTTACATCAAACAAAAAACCACAGTAAATAAACTCCCAAATAAACTCATTGTTTCCCTCTGGGCCCTCCTTGGCAAACCACCTCTATGATTAATATAAAATAGAAAAGTTAAGTTTCCTTATCATTAATAAATAGATTGTAGTTTTCCAATAAATGTTAGCTCTTCAGAGCCAGTCTAACAAACTTTAGGTATTTGGGGGCCCATTTTAGCCATCCCAGGCTCTTTGCTTCTTGTGTTTTGGCATCAGCTGTGTCATCTTTGAGCTGTCTGGGGCTCAACTGGTCACTGAAGACCAGTTCATGCAGTTTACAAAGTTAATATGGTTTTCTAGTGCAGACAAACCAGTGGAGATTGCGAGTCTTAAATTCTGATGTGCAGTTAAATGGTGGATTAAATCTCTCCCAGTGTTCCTGCTCTTGTAGCAGAGGTGGCTGTGCAGGATGTGAATTTGCTCTGTTGTCATCCTACTCTGCAGTTTGCCTTATTAACCCAAATCAGCACTGGCTTGCTTCATCCCACAAAGCTGTGAACTGCTTCAACTTAGGGCAAATTTGCATGGTGTTCAGCTTCTTGTTTCAGGACTAACTTCAGCTGGGCCAGGTTTAGCCACCACTAAATGTCTCGGTATTTAGCTTGCACAGCCCCATGGCGTTCTGAGTTTAGGGGACATAATAGCTTGTATAGCAATATTACTTTCTTGAAGATAAAAGTGTTTACTGACTTTTGTTGGATTGCATGTCGTGCATTCAATCCCCTCACTTGCCACAAAAATTTATTTTCAGTCTTGAGTGTAAACTGGCATTTGACATCTGAATAAGAAGTAAACCTCTGTATGAACGATTTTGTGCAATGAATAAATTATTATGTTTGCATAAATGTTAATCAAACACTGTAAACTGCTGTTTGCTTATATATTATGAATATTATTATTATTATTTAAAATGCAAATTTGTTTTGAAACCAAACCTGTTTTTCTTGCCTACATTTCAGTCAGAACTAAGACATGGTCCGTTTTACTATATGAAGCAGCCACTCACCACAGACCCTGTTGATGTTGTACCACAGGATGGACGGAATGATTTCTATTGCTGGGTTTGTCATCGGGAAGGCCAAGTCCTCTGCTGTGAACTCTGTCCTCGGGTTTATCATGCTAAGTGTCTGAAACTGACAGCGGAACCAGAGGGGGATTGGTTTTGCCCAGAATGTGAGGTTAGTCTGAGATAAGGAGTGGATTTCTTTCTTGTTTGTGAGATATAAGCAGCCTTTTTGCATTCTGAAATGTTTCTGGGCTGTTCCTATGTTGCCTCTTGGTAAAGGTACCAGAAAAAATTGTACAGAAGAGGAGGCATCCATTGCTGCTTCACCACTTTTTCTCTGTGTGTACCTGTGTTTGCCTTCTTACCATGAGTCTTCAACTTCCTTTGTGTTTCCATCTCTAGAGAGGGCGCCATTTCAAAGAGTGACCTCTTCATCAGGCACCTCTAATTCTGAAAACATGCTGCAGTTTTGACTAGTTTTGACAAGTTTTTAACTTGTGCTCCTTCTAGTGGGGTCATCAGCTCTGCAGTAGTGCAGAAAAAAATTGCGCTATAGGGTCTGCATAAACAAGTGGGTATTTTATTACTATTTTTTTCTGCAGGGCTAGGGAAGAATTGAATCATTCCTCTCCAATGATTCCTAGGGAGAGACTATTTACTATTAAAGTATCTTTAGTGAAAGTTAATTGGTTTATCACATGTTTGGGATTTTGTTTTAATCACTTCTCGTATTACAAGTTCAGGTGACCTCACTTGTTCACATTGCTGTGAACCCACATCGTATTTGGGAATTTTATGTATTCACACATTCACTTTCCACGATGTTGAAGATGATGGACAATTTTATGGCCTTTTCCCTTCTATTTTATTTCTCTTTTGTTTTGTTTTGTTTTGTTTTGTTTGGTTAACATACCCAGAACAAATCCAAGTAAAAGAAGCATCTGGAGGAGTTATACTGCATCATCAGAAATGTTTCTTTTCTTATAAGATAATTCTCTTGTTTGAATGCTAGAATGTTTCAGTGGAGAAGAATTTACCTAGAAATGTTTGCTGACAAAATATTTTTTTAATCTTAACTTTTAGAAAATCACAGTTGCAGAATGCATAGAAACGCAGAGTAAAGCTATGACAATGCTCACCATCGAACAGCTATCGTATTTGCTGAAGTTTGCACTACAGAAAATGAAACAACCAGGGGTAAGGAAGATTTATTTTATTTTATTCTGTTAAATGCTTGTGTCATATGTTTGTCATAATTCTGGGTTTTGCTTCATTTTCTGGATTATGAACCTAGTTTATTTTGGCAGATTGTATGTGTTAGCTTCTGTGCTGTCTGCCACCTCTCTAGTACAGACAGATAAGTTTAGGCTATATAGACTGCTTTGGACTGTATTTTAAAAATTTAGTTTCTTGATGTAACTTCTGGATGTAATTTCAGTAGGTGTAGTGAAACTATGATGTGGCTTTCCAGTGGGACATGGTGGTTTCTCACTCTGAAAGTGGACAATGCTGCCTCTGAGATACAAGGGGTATAAGGAGACACGATCTCTTACTAATACAGTTACCTGGGCAGGAACCCTAGACATGGATGCTGTTACATTATTGACTATACCTGTTGAAAAATCTAACTTCTATCTGTTAGTAGAAAGTGTTCTCACCACAGAAGTTAGTTGTATCATATATTTCTTAAACACTGAAGAAATTTTCCTCAGTGTGGTGAAGTCCTGTGCCATTAACTTCCATGCAATATGAATTTTTGTCACGGAGATGTTGGTTTTCCTCCAACTTGTACCTATCTCCGTGTTGTCTGTCAGATTCACTTCGCAAAATCACCATTCCTCAGAGTTTCAGCTATTCCAGTCACTCATTCTTGCTTCTGAGTTTCAGCAATTCTGGTCACTTGTTCTTCACCATGCAAGCTTTGCCTACATTTCACACGTGTGAAAATAACAGCAAATCAAAATACAATGTGGTGAATTACCGAGGGTGTCTTAACTCCTGTTGCCTTCTTGTTCCTGTGCATAAGCTAGAGGAGCAAGGAGGGTGTCTCTGTGCTTGCAGTGTTATAGTAAAATATCTGGAAAACCAGATGTGCAACCTCATGGGCTCTCTTCAGTTCTGATTGCTGTTTGATAAGTATTTTAGCAGAACAATAGTGGCAATTTCTGTGGAAATTACTCTTAAGTACTGACAGATTTTGGCTCTTGAAATCCTTTTACTCTGGATTGGTAAATACTGTCCTGTTAGATGGAGCCATTAGAAGCTTTAAGTGCTGCTTTTCAGTAGCAAAGTGTCAGTGTTTGTTTATATTAAATTCACAAAGTGTTTTGAAAATGTGGTTAGAAAGCTAAGCTTTAATGAATGCCATTGAGATTTTTTTGCCCTTTAGGTGTTTTAGTCTGTTGTTTTGGTACCCGAGTACTTTAATTGGTTGTATTCCAAGAATTGCAATCCCTCTCGTTAGCAGCTACAATGGAGAGTCCCTGCTGTTAAAAGTTTGAATGTGTTTGCATCACCAAGCCACCATTGTTTTGGAAGTTATGATTCTAATGATAGTCTGAAAAAGAAGTATTTTGAGTCTAGTGAATCTGAAGTTTAGTATCTTTATTCTGTTAAAAAAACCGTCTGTTGAGCCTCATCTGATAGTCCTTACAAAAAATCACTACTGTAAATAATAACAGTACATTTTACAACGCCCCTAACTTTTGCGGTACCTTACTTCCAGCATATGAAAAATCAGTTAAGTGAGACCTTTCGGTTTCCTCTTCTACTGCCAATACATTATTACTTCACAGAATTTTATAATTACCTTTAAATAATTTTCTCTGACATCACAGTTGGAAGTAGTGGTAGAAGATGAATGAGTATTGTGTCACTGGTGAAACTGTTCAGTATTAATAAGCAGTGTGATTTTTGATTTCCTAACAGACAGAGCCATTTCAAAAGCCAGTTTCACTGGATCAACACCCAGATTATGCAGAATATATCTTTCATCCAATGGACCTTTGTACATTAGAGAAGGTTAGTATGAAGCTAAGGGAGGAAGGTTCCTTGAGTTTGATTACTAACATTAAGAATTGTGGAGTATTTGATGGGAGGAGGAGAAAAGTTGCTTGAAATTATTTTTCTACTCTTTTGTTACTATAACTGCCAGTTACTGCCAGTTCAATTACAGCTTAAAAATCTATTTAGAATCATAAGTCTTACAGTAAATAAGTAGTGAGTTTTATTAGTTGTATGACTGATAGGAAACAATGTTCAGGAGGAAGCTAGCATTTTACTAATTTCTGTTTCCTGATATATTCTTAATTTTTCTTTACAGAATGTTAAAAAGAAAATGTATGGTTGCACTGAAGCATTTTTGGCTGATGCCAAATGGATTTTGCACAACTGCATTATTTACAATGGAGGTATGTATTAATATTACTTATGTCTTCCACTATGAAACTTTGCAATAAAGTCATAGAGCAATCTGTCGACTTCTAGTTGGCAAATGCTGGAAGTATCTTTCTGTTAATGACAGTAGTGCCTAAACACAACAGTTTTGTGGGGTTCGTTTGGTTTGGTTTTTTTTATCAACTGGTGTACATAAAACTGTTGGACCAAATACAGCCCAAGCTGTCACTTGCTTGTTCCACATTAAAAAAAATTCAAGTAAGTTCGAGTCATAGAATGGTTTTGGTTGCAAGGGGCCTTAAAGATCATCTGGTTCTAACTCCCATCATCTGGTTCCAACCCCAAAGTTGCTGTAGCATTTTGCATCATGCAGCACTTTATAGGAGACCGAACTAAGGAGATCATACAGCATGTGCCCCACTGAAACAGCTTTTCAGTGGTGGGCAGGCTGCAATAGGCTTCAAAAGGGAACGTGTAAAGATTGTTATGATGTTACGTTGAGAAGAGAAGTGCTACCTTCTGCTTTTGAGAGCATGTAATTTATACGTGTGTGGTTTACAGCGTCTCTTTAGATGTTCTCTGTTGTCTTTAATGTCAACTCTTAAATCTAAAAAGTGTTGATTTTTATAATAATTCTAGCATAACTATTTTCTTGGTTAAAGCATTTTATTGTTTCCTCAGGAAATCACAAATTGACACAAACAGCAAAAGTCATCATCAAAATCTGTGAGCATGAGGTACGAGTGCCCCAATTAACTTCATTCTTCTGTACTTTTAAAATGTTCCTTTTCATGTATTTGCAAGTAAAATAATATGTGTTTTCTAGTGTGTATATTGCAGAACTGTGCTTTCTGTGGACTTTCTTATGTTTAGATATGCATACCCATGGACTACAGAATGATTTTTGGCAAGGGCATTGCAAATGGGTCTTCCCTTAAGATAGTCATTATCTGTAATTAAGACTTGTGGTAGGGGAAAGGGGAGGAGAAGATGGTGGACATGGATTCTGCACAAAGACACTTATATTCTAAATGAATATTTGGAGTTGGAAGAAGAGACCCACATCTTCCAATTCATAGATGCATTTTTTGGTGGTTCTTTTGCTGTAAAAATACGAAATTCCTCTGAGTAAATGCAAAAAATGACTGCATGCATTCTTAACTGATCATTTGCACTGATTTTATTCCAGTGGCAATCAATAATGTTTGGTATTGCAAAAACTTGCTATTCTAAGTATAATATATTTGAACAATATTTCATTGAGATATGTTATCTGATGATCTGACACTTTATATTTAAGGAAGTGCTTTCTCCATCCCTGGGTTGACACAGCGATATCCATGATTCACATAAATTCTGAGAATTCATCAGTTCTTAATAGAACAAAATACATGTATAACCTGAGCCTGATAGCTACTTTATATAATACAAGCATAAGAAATAAAATATGTTATTTTTGGTTCTGCATAAATTATGAAATTAAATGCTCAACTGAGGTTATATTTTTGCCACTGGAATAAATTATAAGTAATTCTTTATCACTGGAATAACTACAACATCAAAGAAAGGATTTTTTTTTTAACTGGACTAAATGACAGTAGCATATAATCTGAAGAGGGATGTAAAGTTGTGACTGATTTATTAACTAGAATGCATGCATTACAGGGATAGAAAAAGATGAGTGTCTGTCAAAACAGTGTTGATTGCACAGCAAGTAAATAATAGAATCATTCAGGCTGGAAAGGACCTTTAAGATCATTGTGTCCAGCCCTTAACCCTGCACTGCCAACTCCACCACTAAACCATGTCCTTAAGTGTCACATCTACACGTCTTTTAAACGCCTCCAGGGATGGTGACTTCCCCACTTCCCTGGGGAGCCTGTTCCAGTGCTTGACAACCCTTTCAGTGAGGAAATTTTTCTTAATATCTAATCTAAACTGGTGCAACTTGAGGCCATTTACTCTGGTCCTATTGCCTATTTTTTGGGAGGCTGACACCCACCTCACTACAAATTTCTTTCAGGTGGTTGTAGAGAGTGCTAAGTTCTCCCCTGAGTTTCCTGTTTCTCCAGACTAAACAAGCCCAATTCCTTCAGCTGCTCCTCATCAGACTTGTCCTGTAGACCCTTCACCAGCTTTGTTGCCCTTCTTTGGACAGGATCCAGCACCTCAAGGTCTGTCTTGTAGTGAGGGGCCCAAAACTGAACACAGTATTAGAGTTGCAGCCCCACCAGTGCTGAGGACAGGGGTAGCACTAGTCCTGCTGGCCACACCCTTTCTGATACAAGACAGAATGCAATTGGCCTTCTTGGCCACGTGGGAAATGTTGAGTTATGACCACAGATTTGTGGAAAAATGAAGCTAGCAAACTAGATAAGCTAACATCATAATATTGATCCCATTTTGGACTCTGTTTAAGGTCTCCAATAACTGTTTGCTTTTTCTTTTCAGATGAATGAAATTGAAGTATGTCCAGAATGTTATTTAGCTGCTTGCCAAAAACGGGAAAATTGGTTTTGTGAGCCTTGTGTAAGTTAAGGATTACAGTAGTCTAGCTAATACATTAAATTAAATACATTAAACTAGTAGTTCTCATTTGACTGTTGCGTGTTATCCCCCCCAGTGTTTTAAACCTGTGGTGGTTACTGAATCAAGGAAAACTCCTGTAGTTTACCAAGTAGCTTGTGCTTGCGCATCATGCTTTTTGTGGAGTCAAGTTATCTTGAGATGTTTAGCTGTAAGATTCTTAAGTAAAAGTGGATAATCCATCAAGTTCTTTCTTGGACTTAAGTGAAAATTAGAGAATTTGGAAGATTTGCCGTAGCCTAACTTACGTTATGCTATGTATTTGGAGGGTCTAATAAAAAACAAATGGATAAAAAAGGTGTGATACGATGTGTTTAATTGAGATACTTATGGTTTTATGTATTTGTTCTTACAGTTTGTTTGTTTTAAAATAATTTTATTTTTTTGTCTGCTCAGGATTTATTGTGTATGTATCAAGTGTGTAGTAAAATGTAATGTTGGATTTGGCAAGTGTCTTTTGCATGTTGGATCTTTATTGAATCTAAATAATATATAGAATTAAAAAAAAATCACATTGTTTGCTAGATTTGAAGGGAACGATGGTTGTGTTTTCTTACTGTGTATTTTGCCTCTTCCTCTAGAGCAATCCCCACCCTTTGGTCTGGGCTAAACTGAAAGGCTTTCCATTCTGGCCTGCTAAAGCACTGAGGGATAAAGATGGGCAAGTCGATGCCCGTTTCTTTGGCCAACACGACAGGTGGGAATTTAACCAAAGGATGGGTTTGGCTGTACTTACAAAATACTTGTTGTAATTTGGGCTCTTGTCTTTTGAACCTCAACTCTAACAAACTATTTAGTACTGTAGCATACACAGTTTTAGTTTCTTACATGATGTCTGTAGAATATAAGTCATGTGTTTGTAAGTTCAATACCTATATAATCTCAGTGATTATGCAAGTAAATTCCTGTGTCTGGTTTTGTGCTGCAGAGAACTGTAGTTCTTAAAGATTGAAGAGGCCAATAAAGTTGTTTATGTTGTCTAAACACTGTGGGCGTAAACACACAATTGTAGTTTTAAAAAATAAAGGAAATATAATGTCTTGAAAATGCCAGTTTTACTCTGAAAGGAGTTAAGTTTTCTGTACTTGGGAACCCTCTGCTTAGATGGAGAAAGCCATGATGAATACAAGTTGATTTGAGTTGAAAATATAAATCTATACAGTTATAAAAACATGTACTGATAAAAAAACCCAACAAACAACTATATAAGGCCATGAAATATTTAAGTCAAATTTCTTGGAATTTGAAAATCTTGGAAGGCGTGAGTTTTAGTCTGCCTCATTTCATTGCAAATAAAATGTGTTCAATACTTGTTGATAGAATTTTCCTGGCATTGAGGAGCTTGATCACACTGACTTGGAGCGTAAAATGTTTTTAAGAATGTACTTGTGAAGTACTTTTTTCCTGACCTGTTTTTTATGTTTTTCAGCTAACTATGACAGATGACAGACTGTTTAGCAATGGTCATCCTACAGTTACGTAGACTACTCTAATTAGGAATATTTTGTCGTAATTGACCAGTGTTTATTCATGTTTTATGTGTTACCAAGTAGAATAAGCTGCTGATAATCTAAGACATGTAGTGTACTAACAAAAATGAAGCGCTGAACTAGTAAAAGAAGGAGGTATGGTCCTTTGAAATGATCTGAGGTGTACGTATCTTTATGATTAGGCTAAAATAAAGTAGTATGTGCACGAAAGTTGCCAATGTCAATCCGTATTATGAAATGTAGTTATGTTATCTTTAATTTTTCTGTTTTACACATAGGGCCTGGGTTCCAATAAATAATTGCTACCTCATGTCTAAAGAAATTCCTTTTTCTGTGAAAAAGACTAAAAGCATCTTCAATAGTGCAATGCAAGAAATGGAGGTTTATGTTGATAACATTCGTAGAAAATTTGGAGTATTTAATTACGCACCTTTCCGGACACCATATACTCCCAACAACCAATACCAAATGTTGTTAGACCCTGCAAACCCCACTGCTGGAACTGCAAAGACAGACAAACAGGAGAAAATCAAACTGAACTTTGACATGACGGCATCGCCCAAGATCCTCATGAGCAAGTCCATGCTGAGCAGCAGCACTGGCCGCAGGATCTCACTCACAGATATGCCACGGTCACCAATGAGCACAAACTCATCTGTTCACACTGGATCCGATGTTGAACAGGACGCAGAGAAAAAAGCAACTTCCAGTCATTTTAGTGCCAGTGAAGAATCCATGGACTTTATTGATAAAAACACAGGTAAAAAAAAGAATGGGGGAGGTGGGTACAGGACTTTGCATTTTATTAATGCACCAGTTTTATTCCATGTACTTTTTAAAGACACACTCTATTATGACTGATTTTACAAAGAAATTTTACAAAAAAAGATGGGCTTAACTTTCACAGATAAGAAGTAACAGTCCTTTCTGTCACATTGAGAAAAAATGAAAAAGTTGAAAAATCTTGAAAACTGAACAAAACCCTTCAGTTTAAATAGGAAGAAATAGTTGTAACTATCCAAAGAAGTGTTAGTAAATACAAAAAGAGTTAGAACTGTCATGATGAAGAGGTATTGTGGTTCAAATTTGATACCTCTTTTTCAAGACAATGAGCTTAATTTATTGTGTTCCCAACTGAGTAGCTAAAATGTGATAGAACTGCAGTTCCATTGGCAAAGTTGATAAAGAGAAAAATGAGTGTAGGATATCGAGTTTGGACTTGTCAGACTTACAATGTAGTCACATACTAGCTAATTTTGTGGCACTCAGGCAAACTACTTTATCTTAGTTCTTTTCATTCATAAAAGGAAGTTCAACGTTATCTGAAAAAAATGGTGCAGTGTATATATATT